ATTTTAAAACTACCATGAGTATTAAATTCAAGAAATAGTCTTAGCCCATAGTGATTATAAATTGCCCCAAATTCTAGTGTGCAAGAAACACTCCAGCCCCCATGAAAAAAAAGCAAAAACCTCACAAACTTAAAAAGCACTTAGTAGAACTCTGCATTGCATCTCTGTTTACAAAAAGAAGAAGAAAAAAAAAAAAAAAGAGAGAGAAAATAAAAAGAAGAAAGGAGGGGAAAAAAAAGGGGGGCGGGGGGGGAGGAATGGAAGAAAAAGGAAAAAACAACCCCGAAACTTCTAGGCATAAGAGTGTTAGCCAGATTATGATTTTTTTTTTCCCCAGACTGATGGCTGGTATTTCTTTGTCCCACACATTTAGGAGATTTAGTAATACATTCTGATATGTTGTCTGACTAGAATATATGGCAAATTTTAGTTTCTAGAGTCACATTTGGCTGACTTTAAAATAGCAGAAGGATCCTATTATACTATTCTTTGACCCTATTATATTTACGTTACTGGACTCTTTGTGATAGCCTCTAGCTGCTTTCTATCTGTGTCCTCCTTGAGCAAAATATGCCCAACAGTAACTAGAAGCAGGGTGTAGTATTAGAAATCAAGTTCTCATGTGAAATATGTATTTCTGCACAGCATCATGAAAGCAAAAGGTTTATTTAATACTTGTCAATCCCTGAAGACATAGTCCAGCATTAACAAATAATAATAAATAATAATAATACTCTAATAATGTGGCAATCCTAGTGCGAAAACGCATATGACCCTTAGGTTTTCCGAAAGATTTTCAGAATTCTCCCCATTAGTACAACTGGTGGTGGACATTGCTGTTGCATTTCCCAGTGAAACATTTAAAAGACTGTAAATGGTGTGTGCATTACTACATTGCAGAAGGAAGAGGTCAGGCTAAATTGCACTGGTATTTAAACATAATCATACTATGAAAATAAATCAAAACATCACGTAAAAGGAGTATTTTAAATGTTACACACGTTTTCTTTCTGGAATGACACAGCTAAGCTGTACCCTGTGAGCATATATATTTTAACACAAGTTTACAAAAATAAAAGTGTATGATTTTCAACAAACGGGAATAGGTCTACAGCGAAGTATTGTGAATATTATTTTGCTCTTTCTTTCCTAATGAGGTTTATCCTTCGGCCAGACAGTTGTAAGACTGAAATACTACTGGCTATAGAGTGTAGATTGCAGATTGCATGCTACTCAATGTGAAAAGGAGCACATTTGATTGATCGCCTCTGTGTGTGTGTGCGTCCATACACACAACTCTCTGTAGTTGCATGTGCATGTATTTGGCAAAACCGGGCATCTCTGGGCGTCCTTATCTTAAGAAATGTGAGTCAAACATCCATTCCTTTAATCATGTTCATCTTTGATCACCAGCAAGGGTGACACAGTCCACAAAATTAACAAAGAAACTCCCTTGCTTTTGAGAGATAGCTACATGTACATCTGGGTCTGCACACACATGCACATGGACACACGAACATGCAGGCATACATCCCAGTAAGTAAATTACGGCATAACTTTTCATGTAATTGACACCAGACACCTTTAATTTTTCATTTTCATTCTTTTGACCAGCTTTCACATTAACAATCTAAGCCGTAAATGTTGGTGGCTATTGATTGCAATCCCCTGTGTGCGTGCAAATCCATTTTCAAGTCCCCTGCCTTTAATGTGCATGTGCGTGTGCAAGGGGCCTCTGACGGCTGTTTGTCAGGATCTCCCCCAGCCTGTTTGAAGACGACCCCGGATACACAACATGTGCTGATGGCCAAGGGAAAGCACACACTCACACACAGACACACACACACAGACACATGCAGACATGCACACAGGCACACACACATGCACACACACATGCACACAAAAAGATCCAAACCAAATGATGGAGAAATAAAGAAACAAAGCTCTCTTGTGTGAGATGCAGAGAAAGATATGCAACCGAAAGTGTAAGTATATGGTGGGGATGTGTAGGTTGGGCGCCTGACATTTCCCAAGACTTCTCGTGGGCTTCTCCCTGCCGACATCTGGAGCTGCCTCGACCCCAGTGCTCATGGCTGCACCTTTTGGGAGCCCGAGATTTGCCGAAAAGCTGTCACTAGTTTTAAATATTTGGTAGCGTTGGAATTTTTTAATAAATAAATAAATAAAAAAATAAATGACATTTTTTAAATAGTTGCCGAATCCCACTGCCAGGCTATCACCGGCAGTGAGTGGGTGCGAGTCTGGGTGCCCGTGGCTCCCTCCGTGCAAACTCACGCGTGGATTTACACGGGAATCCTCCCCACTGAACTACCTGACAAATAAAGGACTTTTCAGCCCTTCGGAGTTTTGGGTAATGTCTTCTGAGCAGCTTTCTCGGAGTTTACTGTTCCTTTACTGTTGACTCCATAGCCTTAACCTTAAAGCAGGGGGAGGAGAGCTGTAGGGAGGGGGTGGGGGTGTTCGCAGCATATAAGTACATCAGGAGGAATTTTTAAACGACCTTATTGTCTCTAGCTCTAGAAAGACCGCGATGATTTCTTTTTAGCGCCAGCAGCTGTTTTCTCTTGAAACTTTGCTTTTTTTGCCTCTCACACGAGCGAGCAGGAGAAAGGCAAGGCTGGGGGATCCAGATGCGAGGAGAGGGAAGGAAGGAGAACTCCGCGGATGGTCTGAGCTGTGCCGAGGCATTGTTCACTGCTGCCTCTCGGTTACGTTTAAAGGCTGAAATATCACGAGATCCACTCAATGATCCTTTTCTAATTCGAAGGACAAAATGTAATTTGCTGTAGCTCTGCTTTCTCGGATGGGAATACTATCCCTAGGTTTCAGAGGAAGAACTAGGCATCGCGGTTCGCACACACATGGATTAAGTTGAACAGCGGCGATTACATCTGCACGGAGAGCAACAGTAGTCCAGGGCTGACTTTTCAAATCTCAGCTCTCGGAGTTAGAGGCTCCCTTGAATAGACTTCCTCCATTCCCGGATGCACTTCTCCAAATTCCCACTTCTCTCTCGAATTCCTGTGAAATTGGGGGCTTGCCTGCATTTCGCCTTGGCATGCAAAACGGCGTTTTCACAGAGTGATTATGCGCTTTCTTTTAGCTGTACCTGACGGGGTAACACGAACTCCACGCACCATATTGCCAACACGCGGAGTGGATATTGACGTTTGGGATTGAAGATTTTTTTTTTTCTTCCTCTGCCGATTTTTTTGCCAAGTCACAGCAGTATGAGATGTCTCATTAATCTCGCGGATGTGTCTAATTCTGGATGTGCAGTGATACATAAAAGTGCTGGTGTTTGTATCCAGCGGAACACTGGATGCACGGCAGAGATTGGTGATTTTTTTTTTCGCAGCGCCTAACGTGCAAACCGCAAGCATCACTTTAACGTGACAAGGGAGAGGCATGCAGCTATCGCAACATTTGTGAAATCCTCGTTCTTGACACTCGAATAATTTAACGTTCCTAAGAAGAGGTTAAACCTTCATGCTGCTTCTTCAAATTGATTTTAAGGGACTGCTATAAATGGAGCATCAAAAAGCTTCGGCAGGGCTACTCCGAGCGAAATATGCAAACTGTGAGCCAGAAGCATCCTAGCCCGATGCAATATCGTACATTGTGTATTCCAGCACTTTTTTGTTATTACGTAAAGGCTCCTGGAAGCACCTTGGATATTTTACATTCTCCTTTCTCTGCTGGAAGCAATCAGCACACAGGAATCCTGACGTGGGCTCTGGGACTATAGGACATTCCAGCTCGTGATCCAGCACGGTTAATCGCGAAAAGTGTATACATTTCTGGCTTATCTATGCTTTGTTATGGGTCTGACGTGAGCTCACGTCCTCCTCCCCCCTCCTGCAATATTACAGGCAGAATTTCAGTTAAAAGTGTTATAGTATCACGGTGCGAGAACCCGTGATATTCAGACAGCAAAAATAACCTTAGTACCCGGCTATAAAAAGCTAATTAAGCAGAAGAGGAAAATCAAGAGAAACTCGAAAATGTAAGTACTCCCTCTCGTTAACAACCGAACATTTAACTTTGGAGCCTCAGAAGGGGAAATACCAGCCTGTTCTGCACGTTTTCGCTAAGCTTCATTTTCCACACAATGCAGAATAAAACGCTGTTTTAAAGCGGCTACATTACCGAAGGATTTTCCATCGCTACGATCAGACTTATGTCCTTTAAATTCATGGCATGCACAAAAGAGCAACGTTTGTCCAAAACAGGCTGAAAATATACGGAACGATAGGGGGAAAAGGCATACAAATCCTTCCTCCGAAGCTAGCAACGAGGAAGTCTGAGAGGGCTGAGTGTGTTTGAGCTTGGATTGTTTAATAGAAAGATTTATATACTAACTGTATTATTTACTTTGGGAGGGGAGGTGGCAGTATAAGGGTATGCTAATTAGTGGGAGATTTTTTGGGGGAAGGGGTGGAATATCAATTTTTATTGCATCACCTGTCAGGAGTGTCCAATCAGCGTTGGCTTTAGGGGAATTAATTGATGAAGGTGTCTCCGGACGAGCTCACTTCACTCTGTCATTTTATTTGTAGCTAAAGCAGCGGCGGGAATAGCAGCTGCATTTCTTTTCTCTTCCTCCCTTCACATTCCATTATCATAGTTTCCAATGGAAAAGCAGGGAATGAAAGGGAACAGGTACTGATCTTCAGCAGCAACTTAGAGAAACACTTTGGCAAACCTGATTTTTAAGATTATATATTGATTGTAGTCTCACGGTATTTTTTAATTTATTTTTTAAAATTTTGTCTAAAGTTTGGCACTTCATTCACCAGGAATAACAGCCTTTGTTATATTTTATTAGCAGGATGCCTTGAGACAAATACAGCATCTGGCTGAGGATTGTGTGTGTGTGGCTTTTTCTTTTTCTTTTATTTTCTTTTTTTTTTTTTTTTTTTTTTTTTTTTTCATCTCTCCCTCTCTCTGCAAATGCTGGGAATAATTTAATTCACGAAATGGGAGACCTGAAGTCGGGTTTTGAAGAGGTGGATGGCGTGAGGCTCGGCTACCTCATCATTAAAGGAAAGCAAATGTTTGCACTCTCCCAGGTTTTTACAGACCTGCTCAAAAACATCCCGCGAACTACCGTGCACAAGCGAATGGATCATTTAAAAGTAAAAAAACATCACTGCGACTTGGAGGAGTTGAGGAAACTCAAAGCCATCAACTCCATCGCTTTCCACGCCGCCAAATGCACCCTGATCTCCAGAGAGGACGTGGAAGCCCTATACACATCCTGCAAAACCGAACGAGTTCTTAAAACGAAACGGAGGAAACTAAGCCGGGCGCTGTCTGCCACCGATCTCCGGCCGGAGCTCGCTCCCGCCGACCCCTTCTCCGGCTTCTGGAAGGAGAACAAACTTTGGCTGGGTCTGAGCGACTCTCCTCGGCCGCTGCTGCCTGTCCGGAGGAAAGCTCTGCGCCCGGGGGACACAGCCTTGCTACCGGCCGCTCATCTACCTCACATTTTTAGTAAATACACTGGCCACAGCTACCCAGAAATCGCTCGGGCGCCTTGCAAATCCCCTGTAAACTATGAAACGGCGCCGGCGGTGGGCGGCTGCGTGCCCCTGCGCTCCCGCCGCCCGCTCGCCGCCGCAGCTCGGCCCCGGCTCCCGCCCGCCGC